CAAACACCCAATTGATGCAGCGACTTGAGCGGATCCTGGAACGACGACAGAACACAAGGACGGAGACAGAACGAAAACTGGGCAACCAACAACGGCGAGAAGCTCCCCCCAGAACAAAAAAAGGAGAAGGATGCGCAGTACGAGACTCGAGGCCGGCTGGCTTTCAAGCCGGGCCAAGAATACAGGAACATGACTTTCCGGCTGTCGGGTACCAAAGCCTGGTCGGCAAGTCAAGAAATGCAAAGAGCGGGCCTTAAGCCAACAATGTTATTTTTATTCTCTCTTAAAATGTACAATTATTTTAAATGTGCGCCCATTAAGGGACAAAAAACAAAAGGTGTTAAAATTAAATTAATAAAATGTAACATTTATTTAAATTTAATAAACGATGGCGGCGTCGCGCGTCGCAGAAGTAATGCGAAAGCAATTCCCTCGGCGTCGTCGGTTATAAACTGAAAAAAAAAAGGTAAATCAGTGGTAAGGATATTTCGATATCACAAAGTATGTAGTTAGAACCTATACCAAGATACCTTGAAAAATATAATTTCAGTTTTCTATAAGCTATAATAACATAAATAAATATTGAAAAATATACTGTATAATAAATACATAATTAGCAATTTTTGTTTTTTAATTACTGAGCGGAGTAATGCTAATGTAGGTATAATAGGCAGTGGCTTATCCAAAAATTATTTTGTGGGATGGGGTGAAAATTAATTTTTGACAAATTTTATCTGAAAGTGATTTATTAATGAAAATGTTGTTATTATTTAACAGCTTTCGGGGGAGTTACAACTCCTCAAACCCCCTGGATAGTGGATACACCACTGATATTGATTGTATACAATTATGAGTTTATAGTCAATCGTCATTAAGTTTTAAAAATGATTTAATTTTCAACTTTAAATATATTTTCTGGTGGGAAAGTGAATTATAGTTGTTACTTTTGGCAGACAACAATTAAAATTCCCAGTACATTTCAAAATCATCGGGGGAAAAGATGGGAATTTTTACGCAAAACTAATTTTGTCAAAATCGATTTTCTTGGAAAAACTGTTAGATTAATATTTAAAAACGAATGATCATATTTTTTTATAGATATTTATTTTTTACAAAATATTTCAACTTAAAATGGTAAAATTTAAAAAATATTTTGTCTTTTTTTGTGCTATTTATAGTCATAATACTTGAACATTCAATAGGTAAATTTCCTCATTACTTGTTAATAAATATATTATGAAGAATATAAAAAGATACATAGAAACGATTTTTTTTTATAAGCATTGGAGGTTATAATTTTGATAACATTATCTTAAAAATTATAAAAATGTAGAAATTATTTTTATTATAAAGTGTTTAATAAGTATATTATGTTGAATTTTATGGTAAAACATGAAAATCTAATACAAGGTTCCTTATAAGTAGTTCTGAAATCATAAAATCTAAGAAAAAATACAAGCAACTTATTTTTATACAATATAGAGTTGAGTATATATAATATATTGTTCTATACACCCAATGATAATGAATAATAATTACATATTTGAAGTTCAAATTTGGTTTATGTATTAAATATTTAAATGTCGTACACTCGTACATTTTAGTTTACGATACGTCGATCGTAGGTGTATTGATATAATATGTATATTGTATATCAATACACCTATTACACCTAATTGGTCCGTGATTTACGATACATCTTATGTTTTGATTTCACATTTTTTTATTATCAATTAATTATCGTTCGTAACTTCATACATCTTGATACAAACTGGTAAATTAGATACAAAAATCGTTTATGCCTAAACGAGTTACCAGTTCTAAGTTCAATTAATCCCTCGAATAGTGCAGTTCTTTATCTTTTGCAACTATATAATATATTTTATATTAATTTTCATTATTATCATCATTCATCATGATATCCACCGTATCGATTTTAATGTACAAATGACGACCACGACGTACTAAATATGCCGACTACCGTCTAGTGTTTACAACTGTCTACAAATTTGGGGCCTACTTAAGTAGTCAAATACTAAATCAAAACTTTAAATCAACACATTTTATTTTAAATTAACTAACTGCTTGTTATCATTGTAGGGTCAAGTTATCAATAGGGTAAGTAATTGGTTCCAATATTAATAGATATTCAAATATTCCTAAATTAAACATTTAATATTAAAATAAATCTTTTTATGTTTATTGTTCACATAAAATATTGTGTTACAGGTAAAATGTGTATGCCTGATTTTCAGAAACCCGCTGACGACTCGCCAATATCTGACGAAGAAGGTGCGCCTGAGGAGGAACAAAGTGAGGAAGACATTTATCACTTAAATTCTGACAATGAGTCCTCATCAGATTCAAGTTTAGGTAAATTTTACGATCCATCTTAAAAGTATACCTATGATGCTTTTGTTATTAATATTTTTGAAATAAATTATTGTGTATTGTCTTACTTTTAACAGACTACCATTGTTTATCTAATTTAATTACTTATTATAATCATAAACCTATTTATAGGTCTATGGTTTAATTTAATGTGTTGGTATGGCCTGACCAAAGCCACATCTTAGTGATGGTAGTTTATTATGCTGTCTGTTTACTATTCTTACTCAATTAATATTTCAGCTGTTATATTACAAGATGATGATGATGATGATGATGTAAGTGATGATGATATTGAAGGAGAAGACGAGGATGATGATGACAATGATGATGATGACGATGATGACGATGACGATGATGATGATGATGATGACGAGGAAGAAGAGAATATTGATGGCAGCGGCAATGAGGATGATGACGAAGAGGAAGAATTAGAAGAGGAAGAGGATGAGGTGGTAGCAGCTTTTCTTTCAGCTAGTTCAGATAAAAATAGAAATCATCCACCTAATTTATCTGTTGGGAATGTCCTAATTGGTGGATTTTCTTTTCATCCTAATACAAATGTTATTGCTCTTGGGCTATCAAATGGTGATATTGCTATGTATGTACATTTTTTCGTAACTAAAGAATATTAGGAAAAGGTATTTATTTATATTATAAATACTTCTTGTTTTATTTATAGGTATAAGTATAGTAATGAAATTAATGAGCATTTAAGGACAAATGATAATGTTCATTTAAAAAAAGTTACATTATTAGAATTTAATGAAATTGGTGATTTAATTTATTCTGCTTGTAAGGACAATAATGTCTCAGTGTCTGATGCCGAAACAGGAAAAATGAAAGCATACTTTGAAAAAGCTCATACAGCTGGGTTAGTTACTTCAAACTTAACAAAATTCCATAAATTAGTTTAAAACATTTCCTTTTATAGGAATTTTGTAACGGCACTTTCTTTAATTGATGAAAATTTGTTCGCTACTGGTGATGAAGATGGTGTAGTTAATGGTAAAAAATAACAGTCACACATTTTATTAATATTTAATATACTTGTATAGTTAATTTAATTTATATTTTCTAGTTTGGGATATACGCTCTAACGGGTGTAGATTTTCATTAAAGAAAACTGAAGATAGTATAAATTCAATGATCACTATTAAAAATAGTAACAATCAACCCACTTTAGCTTGTGCTTCCGGCGATGGTACATTGACTATTATTGACTTATCAACAAAAAAAATGGTTGTCCAGGTATTTTAATATATTTTTACTTTTGTATGTATTATTAGAACTGTAATAAAATTATATTTTTAATATCTTTTTTTCAGTCAGATCCATATAAATCTGCACTTACTAGCTGTGTAACAATGAAACGAAAAACAAAAGTAGTATGTGGTACTGGTGAAGGATCACTGATTACATTTAGTACAGGCGACTTTAGTATGTTCAATGATGAATACCCCTGTGTTGATAAAGGTGCCGCAGTAAATAGATTAGTTCCAGTCACAGAAAATATTATATTAAGTGCTTTAGATAATGGAAAAATCAGGTATGATAAATATATATATTGTTTTACTCACTGCCAGAAAATTAAAATTACAACATTCATTATTTAGGGCAACAAATTTATTTCCCAACTGTCATTTGGGAATTGTTGGTCATCATCAAGATATGTCTGTTGATCTTTTAGATATATCAGACAATGGCCATTTAATAGCTTCAACATCTTATTTCAGTAGTATTGTTAAATTTTGGAACATAGAATTCTTTGAGGATTTTGATTTAAAAAAACACTTTAAGAAGATTAATCCAAAACAATTTAATTTGCCATCATCAAATGTTGTTAATACTACAGACTTCTTTTCTGGTCTTCAATAAATATTTGTAAATGGTGCGTTGTACATAAAACTATTTAGATAATGTAAAGACTATAATTTTTATTATAAGAACCACTTTCAAAAACAACTGATGAAACATTTTATCATTTGAGATTTCACTTGATTTACATCTATATTTATTAATTGTCAAATATATCATTGTATAAATTATTTAAGAAAAAAACAATTCTAATTTGATTTAAATTGACTTCCATTTCAAATTTAACAACAAGTATATTACCAAACACTGTCTAAACTATATAATTGAAATTTAGTAGCTTTTATAAACATCACTTAATCAAATGAACCAAAAATATCTAACAGAACTATTGATAAATTCACTGAATTAAAAAATATATATATATTTTTAATAATTCGAATTTTTAATGATAAATAATTCCATGTTAAAATGGAATGCTTGATTAATATCTTAATAGAGTAATCAATGATTAATTAAAGATTTTGACTATAAAATCCAACTAATAAAATAAATATAATAAATTATTACAAAATTAAATTGCTAACTAATTATTTTAAAAAATGGGAAATACTTATGATAATGTATATCTAATTATTTAAAAGTTAAATATAATTAGTTATAGTTAAAATCCAATAATAATTAATAATTATACATTTAAAAATAAGTATAAATATAAAATAAATTAAAACGCACATAGTTGGTAGGTAGATATTTAGTATAATAAATTCAAAATACTTCAACGAGTAGTCAAGAGTTTATCTTGACCCAGTTTGATCAGGTCTATAATAATGTGATGAAGGATGAGATGGATGTACGGGAGGTGGAAAGCATCTAACATGTTCTACTGCGCTAGCATCTGTTTCATTAGCTTTTAAATATTTGTTCAATGTAGCAAAAATCTGTGAATTCAATACTTGAAAACGACGTATCCTGTCAACCATACGTTTCAAGTGCTGTGAAAAGAAAACAAACCATTTGTAAAATCTGTATGGCTTAACATGTATACCATACAATATAAGTATACATACGATTCCTTTAACATTATCATCTTTGCTGTCAACTCGTTGGACTCGAAGTATGTGATAGCAAAAGTCAAGTGCCTCAAATCTTCTCTGTTGGCCAAGTAAAACAATCATAGTACAACCTGCCCAATGAAGTCCTTCGCCAAAAAGCTCCCTAAAATATGAATAATAGAAATGTATGTACTAAATCTAAACTATAACAGTAATGAATGAATGTACTTACTCAACAGTAAACTCCGTATCACCCACCGGTATGCAATACACAAATTGAAGTGCCGACCATAGTCTATGAAATTCTGTACACTCGTCTATGTTCATTACGCCATTTTGAGGTGGTGGACCCACCCATACAGGGTCATCTAACATACCTCGAAGTCTTGAAAGTACCACTTCAAATATTGATAGACCACAACATAAACGCTCACGTGTTAATAGGTCTCCATCACGAGCTATTGTAACTTGCTAAAATTAAAATTAAAATATAAATAATAATTTAATAAGTTTATCTATATTACTAACTTTAGCTGTTCCATATCGCTCAATATTAGGAACAATTTGTAAAGCAGCATACTTTGCTTCTAATCGTTTTTGTTTACTTTCTGTCTTTTCACCTTCCTTAGTAAAAGGTCTAGGTAAAATGTTCTGGAATGGTGCAGCATGTAGAAGGTCACAAACTTCTTCTTGAGATAATGCTTGTTCCATCAACAAGCAAAATAAAATTGTGTTGCCTAATTCTCGAAAATTGTGAAACAATTCGGTCTTTGCATCAGGGTATTGCACTATATCATTAAGCTGGGCATGGTAATAACCTAGAACACCAGGTGATCCATAATCATATCGTGGTAATTTGCATTGCCTGGGCATAGCTTCCATTAATGTTTTTGCAAATTGTAAAAGATTCCCCTGAATTAATGACTTGACTATTTTTAACAATTCTTCCATAACAACAGCAATTCCTTGATAGCCTAACATTTTACACATAGTACGAAAATGTGGAGCACCAACAAATCCTAAATTAGAAAAAAATCAATTAACAATAATAGTTTAAAAAAATAATGAAAAATAATACTTACCAGTATACTGTCCGTAAATAGTAGTATATGCAAGATTCAATTGTTTGCTGCCCCACAGATATTGGTGTCCCATTTGAGGAGGTTTATCCCTTTGTACGGGTTGTGTAAAACTTATGCCTCGACATTTAACAAAACGATTGGTAGCGGCATTATAACAATAGTTTGGTAAAAAATCATAATTTAATTCCCAGAAAACATGCAAAGTGATACGGCCATATGGAGCCAGCACATTATGATTAGCCTCACGGAACATTGCATCAAATTCATCCAAAGCTAGATGTTTACATAACAATTTGTGACACAATCTGTTTACTTGCATAATACCTTCCAATTCCTATATTAAAAAAAAACATGATTAAATTGTACAGAATTCTAACACTTTATAATGAATAAAGTTAAGAAATAACATACCACAATACCAGTGATATCACCACCTTCAAATTTTGCAATAGCTAGCTCCAGAGACTTTAACATATCTGCGTTAACTCGCTGAGTGATCAGTTTGTTTAAATCTACACTACGCCCCAATAATTGCACGTGTCGTTGTTTTAACAGAGTTTCATATCTGTTTGCTCTTGGATATAAAATAAGGTATGTACCCATAGCAACACACTCCACACGGAATCTCTTGTCCAATAATATACTTGATGCTAATTGTTTATAGTGAGCAAAGATTTGCTCACTTAATTTGTAAACAAATTGATCAAAGCAAAGATTCACTTCAGCCTCAACTTCATCATATAGAAACTGTTTACGGAATACAGTTAAAGCATAATGAGCACTGTCATTGTACAAATCTAACGGATATAAGACGTATTCCATCATGGACGGTTCTTTTGTCTTCAAAATATGATCAGTCAATATCCAAGGCATTGACATTTCAATCGGAAACTGAATTCTTTTCTCCATTGTAATTAAATCGCTGCATTCTTCATTGTGCTGATGTTTAACAGTACATTTTTGAATACGTCTTGCCATAGTCATTTCCAAATAAAATTCACGATACCATAGTTGTGAAAGATCACAACATTGTTGTAATGACTCTAAAATTATATTTGATAAATAATAGTATAATAAAATAATATATAATAAATTAATATTTACATGGGAAAAACTAGACAATTTAACTGGGACAAATATTTATTGCTAGTATTAAACTTGTTTATTATGAATATACCAATAGGTACAATAAACAAGTGATATATCTACTAGTAATTGTAAAATATCATGGTAATTTAACACGTTGACTGCGTATGTCTTTTTGCAGTTTTCCCCCAGTGAGTATGATAAAAGTAAAAACAAAAGAAATTAAAAAAAAATATAAAGAAACTGCTCATAACGATGTATGTATACATATTTAAAAACATGCGTTTAATCCACGCTAAATAATAATAAAATAACATTCAGCCACGCGTAGGGAATTTTAAACCATTTATTTTAAATGTATATTAGACGCCATATGGCGTCAAACGCGTTGCTGAATGATACTTATGACGCCAATTGGCGTCAGTACGCAGTGAACGTGTTAAATAACAAAAAAAATATCTAATTATAAATATAAAGTTACGTATACATACGACTAAAACCAAGGAGATAGCTCCAAAAAAATGAAGTCTTATGAAATTGATCAATTTGCATCAGATATTGTCCATCAATATCTTTTCGTAAAGTACGTTTACCACCAGATTTATCTGCAATTAATGATTCTAACATTGTTCTAACCATGTAGAGTTGAGTAGATGAAGGACCTAAAAAAAAAAGAAACACAAAATTGAATGTGTTATTTTTATTATTATTACAATTTACGACTTACCAACATTCCTTCTGGGCACTTTAATTCCAAATCCAACATCTGGATCCTTTTTCCCTTTCAAAGCTGGATCTGCTGATGGCTCTACACCTCTTTGCCAGTCAGCACAAGTTTCTCGAACTGAAACTAGTATACTTCTAATAAGATCTCTTTTATTCTTAATAGCCTTTCTTAATGGTTCCCTCAATGTTAATTGAACAAAATCTTGTAATTCTGCATAGATATTACGACGAATAGTGTCTGTAAAAACTGTTTCCATTCTAGCCATAAGAACTTGTAATCCTTTTATCATGGCTATTACTTCAATAAGTGCAAATTTTTCTTCATCTGTATAATTGTAACGTGTGGCTCGTTCATATTCTTCAGCTTCGACAGGACATTCTTTGTTTTGATGGTGATCAGTAGGATGAAGTAATTTCCAAGAATAGAGCTCTGTCACAACACTTGTCCACTCAGACAGAAGTTGTAACCCTCTTAATGCCAATTCAGCTGTATCTTTGTTTTCAGTATCTGTTCTTGTTTCTTTATATGTAGTTGTTACTTCATTACTATAACGAGCCAATTCACTAATATACTTTACATGATCTTCTCTTATTTGAGGTAAATGTACCATGAGATCCGCTTGTGGACTAATTTGTGGTGAACTAGATAAAGGCCAACGTCCTGGTTCAAAATGTTTAGATCGCTTGATATAATTAAATGGTGCTATCTGCATGTCTCCAAATAGAGGGACAACTTCCAGATTCTAATATATTAAATAAATAATTTATATTAATAATAATTTATTAACAATTAAACACAAAAATATATTAAATATTCAAGAAATGAAATAATTTTAAACCTTAAAAATTCTGTCAATTTTTCCTAAATTCAGTTTTTTCTTCTGATCTAATTTATTAATATTACATAGTTCATTGTCCATGAGAAACAATCCAAATCCCATAACCTGTAAATAAAATACATATGAATTTTACAAAGCAAAATGAAATATAGCAGTATTCATATTTACCTTCACAAGCATATGTTTTTCTGATGGAGTAAGGTACATTTTTGATTCAAACATTTGGACACACAAATTGACAACATCTGATAAAAGTTCTTCATACGCAGGAATTTTTTCTAAATTTTCTTTAACTGTGTCTCTAATTTTATTCTGTGTTGCCAAGAACATAGATAAATTTTGAGATTCTTGAAGTGTATGAGAGTCTGCCATCACTTTTAAAAATTGAGCGGCTCGGCGATAGCTTGAATAATCATTTTTTACACTAGATTTCATATTTTTCAATTCATCAAGCACAGCAAACATATTAATAAATTTTCCGAGCGTTAGTATATATGCTTCAGATATAAAGTCTTTTCGTTTTTCAGCATGGCACAAACGTTTAACTTCTCCACAAAACCGTTCGATTGCTTTCCTCTAATATACAATAAGAATAATAATGATAAACATTCTTAATTCTAAGCTAAAGCAGTACATAATATAATTTCTGTAAGAGATAGAAAAAAAATTTGATTTAATTACTTGGAAATACATGAACTGAAGCAGTTTGTTAACTTCTGGTCCTAAAACCTCAACAGTTTTCTCATATATCTCAACTCGATTAGGTTGTTCATTGGATTTTGGCTGTGGAATTGCTCTTGAACAACAACGCCACGTGTAAAGCATGACCGCATGCACTTGTCCTTCTTCTAATAATTCATTCTAAAAAAAGGCCAAAAAAAATAAGAAAAATATTATATATTATAAATATAAGCACATTCAGCAATCAACAAGTTATAAATTTTCATATTACAAGACTGGCGTGGACAGTGGCTTCTTCAATATATTTTGCTATGCCTGTTACAAATCCATTACGGTCTTCGAAATTTGTATCAAAATCAGCTTGATAAAGAATTGAACACGGTTGTGCTTCTATACACGGTTGTTCGTCAGGCAGTGTAAGTTCATCGAGCACGTCCACATTTGACAAAGCATCTGTCAGTGTCACCTTGTCTGTGGCCATATTCTAAAGATACTAATAACACATTACAATTAGAAAAACTTAAGTTATAATTTTTATTAACATTAAAAGTGAATTACCGCTGTGTTCGAACTTCCAGGTGAGTCTTTTCAATTTTTAGGTTTTTAACAAAACGGAATGAGTAATGGTTTCGATAAAATAAAATATTATGTTAGACTAGATATGTATTATAGATTAAATTACTGGTAATATTAAATGAGTAATGTACGTAATCATATTTTAATTGTTTAATTGATTTGAGAACAGTATAATTTAAATGGAAATAAATTGAAAATTGTAAACAAGCCCAATACTTGAGTAAATTAACTTATCAGATAAAAATTCTTTCGTCAGGAACAGCAATTCCACCACAATCATTAAAACAACAAAGTATTTGTTACCACATATAACATGTTACCCAAACTTTGGCTTATAACACATGATAACACATAACAATATAGAACTGTGAATAGATAGAACCACGGACTAAGGGCCAGTATTACAATCATTGATTACACTTCGATTACGCTTAACCAACTGATAACAGATTTTATTACCGGCCGAATTCCACTGGTTAGGAGTCCGTTAAATTTAACTGGAGATGGTAATACTGGCCCTAAGGGCCGTTCTTACAATGTCCTGTAAAGTGTCGGTTAACGCTAACCGACTGATAACAGATTTTATTACCGGCAGAATTCTTCCGGTTAAGTGTCGGTTAACTTTAACCGGACGTCGTAAGAACGGCCCTAAGATATACAGGACTGGACACGAGATGAATATTGTGGTTACGAAATGTTTTACAACAGGCGGAGTTCGGGGGGATATTTTCCTTTTAGCATTACTAGCGCCGTCTTAGTGGATACTTATGGAACTAGAAATTTGTATATTTGTATATTTGTAAATTTGTATATTTCATATAGTCTGTGGATATACTAAAGATATACTAAATATAAGTATATATAAGTATATATATAAGATATAAGTATATCTTAGTTCATGGATAGAACCAGCCACAGTCACCAGATTTGGCCATAAGACAGTCGTGTTATAAACACAGATATAAAATATTATATTTTGTGGTTATAAACAGCAGTGTCCTATTGGCTATTAGGGCTTATATAGACAGACTGTGTTGGCTTTGAAAAATAATTCATCTTGACGTGATAACAGCACCTTACTATCACGATTATAAACTATAAAGATTAAAGAACTTTATTATAATATAATGCTTTCTTTATAATCGTTCTTACTAATATTACTATTCAAGTAAATACCAGGACTTATTATTAGGATTAAGTTTAATAATATAAATTATAAACTATACTATAAATTGTTGTTAAAATTTAGTTTATAATATTTATTATTCACCCATATATTATATATAATTATTAAAGTTTAAATTTTAAGACAAATTGATTTTATTTTGTTTTTTTTAGTTAAATTAATAGTAAATCATAAAATTAAATTCATCCTTGTGTTATGGTTGTGCCGCAAACTTGTTTCTAGCATCAATAGGTATTAGTTATTTCAAAATTGATTTTGTTTTGCACGTACCGATCCATACTCACGATTAAATATCTAGGTAATCGGGGTTATAAATGTATAATCATGAATTCACGATTCCGGTTAAAAAATCAGAACTCTAAATCTTTAATGTGGTTACAATTTTACAAATTCAAAATATTTGGTCATATTTTTGAATTTTAATTTTTAGAATAATGTACTAAATATTTGAATATTTAATTTAATTGGTATAAATGTATCGAAAATACTCACTAATTATCTTTCATATTTAAAACAATTGATACCTTATTTACATTTAATATGCAACATTTATTTAATGGATTAATTAATTAAAAAATTTGTAACAAACATTATTAGAATACGCTAACAAAAACAATTTCTTTTGGCCGAATACTACTACAGTGAGAATCACTATATAATTTACTATAAATTGACTATACTATACATTTACAAGGGTGTATTGATTATTGTTATGAAATAAATAATCATATTATTCCAATTCCAGGTAGTGAATGATGAACATGAAATTATTAAGTTTACCATGCAGATATACTCTGAGCAGGCATCTGTATTCCAGTTGTTCAGTAAAAGACATTTTAAATACTCAACCCGAGGGTTGTAAAAAAAAATTAAAGGTAATACCTATAAAAAAAACTAAATAATTGTAATCAAACTTAATAATTAGTAGGAATTACCTATGCATCTTAGTTTTTTCTTATGTAATATTAGTAATTTTATGATTTAGTTATTAAATTATTCACTCTATGACCTATGTACGACCAATTTGAATGCATAATATTTTTCTTCTATCAATAATAGTATCTATAAAAATAAATTAAATTGTTAAAACTGAAAACACATACCTGATAAATAATAATCAAACTATAAAATATCAAAGTAAATATTTCTTAGCTATTTTACCTTATTTTTAATAAGTACAACTAATATTTGGCTGTATTATGATTGTAAGTTTTATATTAAAAAAGTTCTTAATTACAATCTATACCTATTAATGAACTTTGTATTTTACTAATAATTGTTGTTTGTATGAATTTTAGGGTTGGGCCAAAGCAATGCGAAAAATGAAAGAAAACATATTTGTGGACTTAGATGATGGTTCTACACATCGTCGTCTACAAGTAGTAATACCTAAAAATAAGATTCCAGCTTCATTGACCTATGGATGTTCCTTTGAAGCTGAGGGTGTCTTAGTTAGAAACCCTAACTATCAACTGGAATTGGTAGCAGAATCTATTAATGTTTATGGATCATGTGTTGTCCAAGATGGTTATCCATTTGCACCTCGAAAAACTTACCATCCAGAATATGTCAGGCAACATTTACATATTCGACCACGTACAGCAACATTTAGTAGTCTACTTAGACTCAGAGACAAATTGTCTAGTGCTGTTAGAAATAGATTTGCTGAAGACAATTTTATAGAAATAAATGCTCCAGTATTATCTTCTAATGATTGTGAAGGAGCTGGTGAAGTATTTGCAGTTAAACCAGATAGTGAAAATTTAGTTAAAGAAATGATTTCAAAAGATCATCAGTCACCTATGGAAGCTTTCTTTAATGGGCAAACGTATTTAACAGTATCTGGACAGATGCATTTAGAATGTATGGCGCGGGCTCTAACTAAAGTTTACACATTAGGCCCAACATTTAGAGCAGAAAATTCAAAGTCTAGATTACATTTATCAGAATTTTATATGATTGAAGCAGAGCAAGCTTTTATTGACAATACAGAAGAACTCTTGAGTTCAATAGAAAAAACTACATCTACAGTTGTAAAACAACTTTTGGAGAAATCTAGTGATGAAATAGGCCATTACAGAAACATCATAGGTGCTTCTAAAGACAATGACCCTGTGAATATGGTAAATGTTCCTTATGAAGTAATTAGTTACCAAAAAGCATGTGATGTATTAGAAAAAGAAAATTGCTTTAAAAATTCAATGATTCGAGGAAAACCTTTGGCTAAAGAACATGAATTGTTTTTAGTGAAATATAACGGTCAGAAACCTATTTTTGTCGTGGACTGGCCCAAAGATTTAAAACCATTTTACACTAAAGCTATACCTAATAACAAGTCATTGGTGCGTTAAATATTCAACTAATTAATATAAAAAATAATGTTTTTGTTGTTATTGTTTAGGTGTATGCTGTAGACCTATTATGTCCAAATGTTGGTGAATTATGTGGTGGAAGTGTGCGTGAAGATGATTATGATGTTTTGAAAGAAAAATTATCTTTTGTAGGATTAGAAGACAAACTTCATTGGTATTTAGAATTAAGAAAATTTGGAAATGTGTCTACTGCTGGTTTTGGCATAGGTTTTGAACGATTTCTTCAAGTATTGTTAGATGTACAGAATATTAAAGATACCATTGCATTTCCTCGATGGCCACATAACTGTAAAATGTAAATATTAAATTTAATAATAAAACTTGTTTACTGTAGTTATGTACTATTGAATGTACTATCAATTTGATTTATTTGAATATATATTTTATTTTAAAAGTTATCCTCTTGATTTAATCTCACAAAACAGAAAAACATTCTAACTATTAATTGTATTAATTGGTTGTCAGGCACTACATAACAATTACATAAAATCTTCAAACAGAAATATTAAAATACATTTTAAAAAAAAAAATACATAAAATAATGAGCATAATTCTTTATTATAAACAAGAAATCCAACACAATATTAATAATCAACAACAATATTGTATTTAGTAGTCACTAATAAAATGACTTAACTAGTAATTAATAATATAATAATTACTATTTTTTTTTTCAATTTAATTTAAAATATATTATACAAACACAAGTATGTCATATGCGGAATAAAATGAAATTTATAATACTCTTTTATACGGACTATCCACAAGTCGCGACTAAAACTTTTATCCCTGTGAATTTAAAATACACAATATCTATTTATTGTTTATGAATTAACCAAAATTCTTTTATTCAGTAAATTAATAGTAGGAAACATTTTTTAAAAATGAGATTAAAATCAATATTATAAAATTATAATTTATTTTTGGTAAAAAAAAATCAACAATGTGAACAACCTAATCTAATATTTTATATATGACTATAATAATATACAAAAAAATGTACTTTATATTATATTTATAAATTTATAAATAATATATATCACATTTTAAGCAGATACATTTACAAAATTAAAACAGGTATATTATATACATTTCAAATAATATAATTTTATAAGTTAATTATTCACAACATAGATCACATATTTTTTACATAATTGAACATAATCCTGACATTTCTTTACCTTTATTAACTATTGGATATTCCTTAAGTTTTTTTGCATTGAGCATCAGTCTTGGTTTCATTTCCCTTTGTATTTTAGGAGCCACTACAGTTTCCATTTCAAGCCCTGGTGGTGGTGGTTGATCAGGATCGATTTCCCCAAATGTCTGTGTGAAATCTGGTGGTGACTGTGGTTCAATGGATGTGTTTTCAGAGCGAATGATTGGTTTTACAACAGGTGTCATTTTTTGACTGATGTTTATCTTGATTGTCCCCATTGCAGGAGCAACTGGAACATTCCATTCGGTATCAGTGTTTCCATCAATAGAACATGTCATTGTAGAAACAGGAGATGGAGATTTAGGTTTAATTTCTTCAGGTACAATTTCTTGAGTGTTTGGGGAGGATGACAAACTGTTAATGTTTTCAACAACGGGTTCATCGACTAATTTAGGTGATAAAACTTCCGTCACTTGAATTATCTCCATAGTATCAGGAATTTCTAAATCTTCATAATTATTTTCTTCAGTCTGTGATTCTAGAAAAACTGGTTCAGTTTGAAGTGAATTTTCATCTGTTATTTGCTCTTCATTTTCTTTTAGTTTAATTGATTCGGTTTCTATAATTGTTTCTGTTTCCTTAATTGTTTCTGTTTCTATAATTGTTTCTGTTTCCTTAATTGTTTCTATTTCTGTTTCCATAACTGTTTCTTTTTCCACAACTGTTTCTGTTTCCATAACTGTTTCTTTTTCCACAACTGTTTCTTTTTCCACAACTGTTTCTGTTTCCACAACTGTTTCTGTTTCCATAACTGTTTCTTTTTCCACAACTGTTTCTGTTTCCATAATTGTTTCAGTTTTAGTAACAGTTTCTTTATCTATAACTGCTTCTTTTTCTATAAACCCTTCTTTAACCCCAACTGGTTCTTTTTCTAATATAATTTCTTTTTTTATCAATGAATCTTTCTCAGGTGTAAGTTTTTCTTCATCTTTCAAATGTATTTCTTCTTTATTTTCATCTTTGATTTTTACATCTTCCGTCAATTTTAATTCCAATTGTTCTTCTTTAATTTCAATTCTTTGGCTTTCCAATTGTTTAGCTTCTACTAAAGCTCGATTTCTCTTACGAATTTTTTCCTCTCGAGTTTTCTAAAAAAAATCAATTTAAATATAATTATAAAACAAGAAAGAATATTTTTAAAAATGTATTATTATTTACAATCATATCATCGTGGCACATGGGATGATAAAGTCGTTTATCCTTTTCAACACAATTCTTCAATTGCCATTCTTCATCTTTTTCATTATAAAATTGTTCAAACTGATCATGACACAAATAACAGGCAGCTAGTTCACTATTTTCACCAGCTGGAACACAAGGAACATTCTCTTCTTCTAATTTTTCATCTTCTTTAGCACCTTTTTCTGCTTGTATATCAAACCAACTCGCAGCTAAAAGTGGTAGAAAAATTTATGAATTTAATTATGAATTAAGAATTTAGAAAAAAATGATCTTCAATTAAAAAAAAAAAATCAAATTACTATGCTTAAAATAGAAGTGTAAAAATATTAAAAATTTCAAACATATTTTGGTTGTATAATAAAACAAATTCACTAACAACAAAACTATTATAAATACGTTAGCTAATCCAGTAGTTCTCAACCAGTACATCGCATAGTACCATACTGGTATTAACATTTTTTTTTTTTGATTTAATGTTATATATAATACACTTTAGTTTTAATGATAGTCATTTTTTGAATATATGGTAGGGTGTGAAAAAAAGGTTAAGATCACTGAATTAATCAATGATACAATATTAATTTCATTGTTGATAAGTGCAACAAATGACAAATAAAGCAACGAGTATGCTAAATTAAATTAAATATGAACAACTGAAAATAAGAAGAATAATATAACATATCTTATATAACTTTTAAACCAAAATAAAAAATTCATTATTAACATTATTGATTACCATTCAAAAGTAAATATCCAAATCGATTAACTCTTATACTGCTAATTTTGTATTTTAGTAATGTGTTTTTTTTCTTAAGATCTCGAATAAAAAAAGTATCAACCATAATTACCTCTAGTAGTTTCATCTTCTTGTTCTTCATATTTACACCAGTCACTTGTATCATAATACCATTTTCTAGATTGAACAGTTTTGCTCGCCATTTTTTCACGTCTATTTTGTCTAAAATGCCAATCTAAATGACTACTATACTTAATGGTAAACTCTGCAGTGAAACGAATACCACAAGAACTGCACTGAATTCCTGTATATAAGTTGTGAATTAATCCTGGTTGTTTTCTGAAATAAGACAATATATTTATAGCAAAATAAAGTAATTATTTAACAATTTATTATACTAACTGTTTTAAGGACGAAGTATCTGAAAAATCAACAGGTTTTATAGTTAAATTTTCTGCCTCCTTCTCTTTCTTTTTTAGTTTTGATTGAACAACTTCTTTTGGCTTGTCCTTAGGTACAATTCCACTGTCCACTAACTTCTTAAATAGCTCATTAATATCCATATCACTAGGTAAGACAGGAGGTATTATAGGTGCAGACATTGTAGGTGGTACATAAGAACTTTTAACAGATTCTAATTTCTGAGCAACATTAGAAAGTAGAGGTAGTGATGTCGTTGCTGCAAAATGATTAACAAAATTAATGACATAGTAGGTAGTTTCAAATATTTATTTTTGGCATTATAAATTTACTTGGTGCTAAAGAATACGAAGAAGAGAATGATTGTGGAGGAAGTTGGTTACTATCTTCATTTGGAGTTAATGTAGTCATTTCAAAACCGGTGAAATTTGGTGGCATCGGCGGCATTGGTGGAACAGGTATTGGCGGTAAAGATTCGGTAGAAGAATCTTCAGTTAGTACTACACCCATCATTTGAGAAATAGCAGCATAACCTGGTCTAATATTTGGTGGTAATCCTGTGAATCGTAAGCAGTGTTTATTGCCCCTTACAATAATTGCTTGTGGTGGTCCGTTATAGTTAACTTTGAATGGTTGGTCATTAATCATAGCTCTCATCAATCCATCAATAAAACGAAAAATAAGTGCGGTGTTACCTACATCAATACGCTGTGGTTTAGCATCTAAATAGACAGGTACAGTATACGAGTCATCAATAATAATAGCTATACGACCAGCAACTAAATCTTGTCGCTTTGTGTTGCCTATATTGACTGAAGGAGGAGGGCCTTCAAGTTTAACAGATCTTTTAACACCACCAAGGTCAGTAAAGATTGGAGAGCCACCAAAAAAACATTCATAGAATTTTCCGTCTAAATAAAGTTCTCGAGTTGGTGCGCCTAACCGTACTCTATGAGGTTGACCATCTAATAAAAATTCTCTATCAGGACTATTGAAATGACACAAAACCGGAAAAAGATCATCAAATATAACATTTTTTGGGGTTCCTTGAAAATATATCTCTCTAGGATCGTCCCAAGATACAAAAGTAATCGCTGTTGGACCATAAAATCGTACTTCTCTAGATACACCATCAATACTGATAGTTTTTGTAGCATCGTGAGCAATCATATCCAATATTACAGGATCTGAAGGAGGAATAACAGAAACTGTCCAATCAGGTGAAGAAGGTGCAAATGGAGCAGTTGGTCCAGGCACTTCATACATAGGCGGTGGAACAAGAGATCTTGTTGAATGAGAATAATTTGGACGAGGTCCTCTAGACCAAGGTTCACCTCTATTTTGAGCGAATCTAGAATTATTTTCTAGTCTTGAATTCCAAGTTTTATTGTTTCTCCAAGTACGAGTTTTAGAATTTTCATTTTCATTAGGTTTGAATGGTGTTTTACGTCTTTTATATACAGGTCGATCCTTAGAAATTGATTTTTTGTTAATTTTTTTCGACTCTTCTGAACCAGTAGAACAACTTTTTGAAGAACAATCGCTATCACTTCCGCTGACATCACTTGGTTTTTTGATAACAAGGTTCCAAGAGCCAAGTCCGGGACTGTTTTCGTCAACAGGTTTTTCAATAATAGTTACCGTTTCTACTAAGGTAGGTTTTAAATCAGTACCATTTCCAGTAACAGGTAGAGAAATTTTTGGAATAATGTACTCCTTTAATTTAGCATTAGTATCTTCTG